TCGTTCGCTGCGCTCACTCGTAATTTAATATCCTCTATTTCTTACTCCCCTGCATGATTATCTGAAAACCTTTTAATGTTAAGTTATAAATATTTTGCATAGGCCTGCTCTTAATCATATTTGACTTTGAAACTTTCTCCTGTTCAGGCGGCTGTTCAAGTCACAGTGTTGGTATACCCTCTACTAGTTTGGTACCTGATCACAGGTTTACAGCAACATCAACTTCTGCTGCATACAAACCTTTTAAAGGAAGACTGGGTAATAGCMAAGCCTGGGCTGCGWRTACACRAAATRCACCTGRTGATTATCTTCAGATTGATCTTGGTGCTGTGTTCTACATATGTGCTGTAGCTACTCAGGGTCTTGGGGAAAACAGAGATGAATATGTGAAAAAGTATCAAGTGTTGTACTCAACAAAYAACGTGCAGTGGACAACATATCAGGAAATGTCTGGTGAYAAAGAGGTAATGTTTAGAGACCCGCCATTGTAAAAATTTCCACTGTAGTTTAATTTAGTGCACCCAATCAAACCCCCTCCTGCTAATGAATGCACAGTCCATTAAAGAGATGATCCAAGCCGTAGAAAAACTGAAAAACGAGAGTGTTTGACAGTAAAAAACGGATACCATGTTAACAAGGAATTTGACTTTGACTTTCATAAACACCAATAACAGCATTTATTTATCACACGCATCATAGATATGTGGTAATAAARAAAAACATTTTCAGCTCACACTTCTCGTKTTTTCTTTTGTGTTTTTSYGTTTGACAGTTCAGCGGTAACTTTGACAGAACAACAGTGGTTACTAATGTAATAACCGACCCATTCAGAGCCAGGTTTGTTCGTGTACTTCCAACTGAGTTCAAACAATGGAAGATGCTACGGGTGGATTTCAAAGGACTTCCACTTGGTAAGAAATCTTAAAGTATTCTGTATGGTTGCATGTGAGACGAGTTATGAAAATTATAAAATTGCATTAATTTTGTTCAAGGTTGTACCTCGCCGCTTGGTCTTGAGAATTCACAGATACCAGACTCACACTTAACGTCATCTTCGTCATCCSATAATTCCCATGCTGCAYCACGTGGTCGTCTGTATGGCAGTTCGTCATGGTGCAGCCAAACAAATGGTAATAATGAGTACATACAGGTTGACCTTGGACAGGTCAAGACAGTGACAGGTATTGCAACACAAGGTAACCCAGATAGGGATTCATGGGTGACGTCATACAAAGTTAGCTACAGCTTTGATAACACACATTGGAATGAGTACAAAGAAGGACAGGTCGTTAAGGTAATATAGTCTGGGCTATGATTAWTAGTCATATATACAGGGTTCTTGTTACATTTTCGTTACAAAATTCAAGGACTTTTTAAGCACTTTTCAAGCACAAATATTCGATTTTCAAGGACAAAGTTTTTTGTATTAGAACGTGGTTTAAGCATYGATTCAATGTTACAGTGCAGCTAATTCAGCCGGGGCCACTAGCTTAGATRAATAGATCTTTAATATACGCATTCTTACCAGAAGTATCCAGATATTCAGCTAGGCTGTTTACGAAATATACGAAAATAGCATTAWGTTTGTATTAAATTCAAGGAGTATTCCAGGAGTTTTGGYGTTTTCTCTATTTTCAAGGGCTTTTCAAGCGCCCTTAAAAAGGTGTTTTCAATTCAAAGAGTTTTCAAGGATTTCAAGGAGTAGCACGAACCCTGTATATATAAGCCTGCTATATAAGTATATTCTAATTAACAATCCACTTATTATGATATTTCTTCGTACATTATATAATTTTATAAAATAGAATTTAGAAGGAAACAGCGATAGGAATGGCGTCAGAGTCAACTGGYTTAGGAATCCAATAGCAGCACGTTATATCAGAATTACTCCTCAGACCCACAACTCAGGGAGCGGTCATTGTCTACGATTTGAAGGCTATGGATGTGATATCTGTAAGTCATACGAGAAAGTATTTTTAAACTAAAATCCTTACTGATCTCATGGGAATATTAAAATCTAATTARTAATGATAATTGTGCGGTATCATTTCAGTCGTTGCCCCAAAAGTGATTTTGGATACTGTTGACTTCATCCTTCCAAGCATCAAAGGAAGTTCCATTACATTAACCTGTAGTGTACTTGGTGAACCAGCACCTGACATCCAGTGGTTTAACAATGGAACAAAGATCAACGGTGCAACACAATCAACACTACAAGTACAGTTCATCTCTGCTGAAGATGTGATGTCCAAGTACAACTGTACAAGRCAAGATCCTAACACACGAGMTGTGGTCTGTAACACGTTCTACACGTGTAGAATAGTAAACCCACTTYACCTGCCGAGTGGAGGRATKAATGAGGCATCGRKGAAAGTGACCGTATTTTTGAGTAAGTCRATGAYATCATCTSTMAATTTTATAAGGTATCTTTTATTACTAAAATTTAGTCCCTTTTTTATACAAAGATGTCTCTAAAGCACCAAATGTGACWGCAAAACTAAACAAGAGGTCGATAACAACGAAATGGTCCGCAATGACAGCTTCYGATGACGTTGGTACCATCAACACGTACAATATACAGCTCAGTAATCAGAGTTCAACGGTGACCTATAATGCACATCATCCTGCTCTTAACTACACTATTGAACATCTCAAGCCGTACACCAACTACAGCATCAGAGTGAAGGCRATAAGTGTCGTTGGRCAAGGACTGTGGAGCAGTTGGCTGGATGTTAGAACGTTGATTGCTGGTATATACTATGACGGGTGCCAAAGATTAGTAGAAAAGGTTTAGGGTGGGTGACGCATATTCATTAGAACAGTTGGAAATTTGCTTTTTTTTGTGATTTTTTTTAGTGTGTGTTCAGTTGTTTGTGTGTATGTATGTATGTTTGTTATTGTTGTTGTTGTGGCCTTTTTTGAGCACTAAAAGTAAATTTCAAAGAATAATTGGCTAAAAAGTGGAAAGCTTTTGCCCTCACCTAAGTCCTTGAAAGTACAACTTTCTCAAAACTTGTTCATTATTTATTAATTCTGAATATAGAGCCTGAMGGTGTACCATCAATCACAAAGACAAATGTCCTGTCGTCACAAAGCATACAGCTTCATTTCCAGGTAAAAATAATTATTATCAACTACGAGGCTATAATTTTTCAAGTTGCGTATAGGCTTTTCTCGAGATATAAATAAGCAAGGTTGAGCAAGGTGCATATAGGTAATCTAATCTTGAGTCTAGTGTCCCGTGGAATATGTTCGATTGGACTACGTGGCTAAGCTCCATGCAGACACGGTTTTTATTTGCCATTTTGATTAAAACTGTAGCAGTAATATAAAAAATAATTTTAACTTCTGATTAATCGCAAACCTGGTTTATTCCAGTACTTACGATTAGA